TTGTGTAATGCTCTGACGGCACTTGACCCCCCGTTCGAAAGGTTATTTTATTAGGATTTCAATGGTGGCTTTTATTTACAAGGGGGGTAAATACTCGCCGAGATATTTATATTAGAAAAATTGTGTCGTAATCTGATGCGAAAGGGGGTGGTCGAGAAAAATCTCTATATAAAAGGACGCTATCTACAAGACGCGTACACAAACATATAATACATTAATATTAAGGAAGTTCATAGGATGTTAAATTTTCCTTGTAGTTATTTGTCAATTTATTTCTAAATATGAATACGTTTTAAGCTAGGTGTAATTGCTGCCGAGCGCCAGCGAGGCAGCACACTATTCTCGACGCACGTTGTTTTCGTTTCCAGTCCCCGCGCCCCGAGTTTAGTAGTTTTGTGGCTTGAATCTCGATATTTCGTCGAGTTGTATGTCCGCATCCAAGGGGGTTACGGAAATTAATGTATCAAGGGGGGGGGGGGGTGTTATCTATCATGGTTGAAACAATATGCGATTATAAATATAAATCAGGTACGAATGGCTTTATTTCTTTCTGGTGATATACATGAAGGCAATAGATCTGCTGTTTTAGTGTTCGATATAGAGCTAGGTATTGAAACAATATCATGATATTACAAAAATATAACTAACGATGTGTCGTTTATCAATCTCCATTTACTGTGTAAGAAGCAAAATAGGAACGACATCGTCAACGTAATCAGGCTTATTAAAATAAGATTCCTATAGCAACCCAGTGTGGATTGTTGTCTGCATATTTTATAGCAATGAACTCATTCTAGATGTTCAGTAGCAATGTCACTGTCACAAACATTCCAACCGTCCCGGTTTACCCGGGACTGTCCCGGTTTGGACTATGTTGTCCCGGTGTCCCGGTTTTCTTCTTATTGTCCCGGTTTCTGTAGTATTTTAATAGTTGTATTCTTCAAATAAGGCTCATGTGACAATATCAATGAAATTTGTTTGGTTCAATGCATATTAAATGAAATGGGAGCTTCTAGTTGCCCCAAACAATTGCCAAGTTTGTCACCGATCGCGGTAATTCTCATGACATACGTTGTTTTGACAATTTAGTGTTCGCTTTCAATTCCGATTCATTTTGCCAGGGCTACATGAAGTAAGCTCAGCGTAACAGAAGCGGGCGCAATAATCGCGAGATCTTGAATACGAGAGGATCACAGTTCAAAAGACCAGTGGTAAAAGTGTAAAATGAAACAATTTCGCCAGTACAGTACTTCAGTGAAATTAAAGCTTGTTGAGAAGATGTTATATTACTTATGGGTTTCGACGTTAAGGCCTGTTTAAACGGATCCAACATTGTTGAACCAACATCATCCAACAATGTTACTATAATAGATGACTGCTTCTCTTTAAAATATTTTTGGTTAGATAAGCTAATTATTAGTCAAACTCTAAACCTAGATCTCGACAAAAATATTTGAAAAAGAAGCCGTAATTCGGGCCATAATAATATTTCAACAATGTTGGATGATGTTGACCCAACAATGTTGGATTCGTTTAAACAGGGCTTTAGTGTAATAAAACTAGTTTTTGTAGCATCAACTGTGAATTTATTGTTTAATGCAAAATCAACTCAGCCAGTTTTAACACTAACCCAAAGAGACACCACATCAACGAGAAAAGCGCGGCATTTATTTGAGGGAGGCGTTTATTCGAGGGAGGCGTTTAGATGGGAGGGAGGCGTTTAGGTTTAGAGGGAGGCGTTTAAAATGGGAAAATTGGGAAGTGTCCCGGTTTTGAGGTCTCAGAGGTTGGAATGTCTGCTGTCACTGATCTATTCGTCAATAATATCTTAATTATAATACAACGAGTAAAAATATAATAGCATGTTATCGAGATGATTTTCCTTATGAACCTATAATATATGGGAATGCTAGTAAAGATTATTGTTATTGTTAATGTTTTGTATCAGGCAAATGAGAACCATACAATAAATGTTTTATTTCTTGTTGGTATTTTGAACGCACGCTTTATTTCATGAAAATTGCTATAAAACAAACCAAAAAGAACGAACACGGAAAATTACTCGCGCGAATTTAAAGCTGAGCGAATGCTTCTCAACAAGGTGCACGAAATTAAATCGCGCGAATTTAAAGCTAGCGAAAATGAGTATACGACGCAAATCTTTAATACAAGTATAAAGTTCCATATGGTATCATATTTCATAGTAACGAGCAATGTAAAATAGCCATACATTTCGCCGAACATAACTTTGGCCCCTTTGGACATATCTTTTTTGTAATAGTCTTATTCGAAGCGGAATCCAAAACATTATTTAGAGTGTTATTTTCAAGCTTGTGTCTTCAGATTTTCACCTTTTATGTCGGTACTTACAGAAATAAATAGTATTTATAATTTTAGCGCGGCCCGTGAAACGTTCTCAAAACAAAGCTCTGTTTACATCCTGGCCGTAGGGGTTTGGAAAAACCGGAAATCGATTCTACAAGTCAAAGTACTCCCAGTGGCATGGTTGACATGTGCATCGGGCTATATATGGATATTTTGAAAAATTCAAATAAATATTTCTACTATGTGCAGTATTCAAACAAAAATTTCTACATGAAAGCGCTTGAATAGAAGGAGTATTTTACTCACATTGACTCTAAGCAAATTCTGAAGAGTTAAGAAGATATTCATGTGATTGGTCTTAAATGATGAACGAGAAAAAATTTGTGCAGGAAACCTAGGCATAGGGTATGTAACCTTCATGTGCAGGCTTGCCATGCTACCAATGATGAAACGTGGAAATGAGGCGATTGGGTTAAAAGTAAACTTCCCTTTAGAGAATTGTCTAGAAGTATAAACGTTTGCATTCAGTTCATGTGGCAAAAAGGCAGCAGTTTCTTTGCGATAGTAACTCCTAGTTATTCCATAGTTTAATGGATCTTGGAAAATATGATTTCCGATAATAGTTTTGATCGTGAATTGATAGTCGACGGTAGTTGGCAATATATATGTCAAACGCACGCGTAATTATTCTTCGGATCTGAACAGCCAACAGGTGTAAACAATTGACCGGAAGTCAACTGAAGTTGACCAATTCTATACTTGAATAAAAGAATCAGATCATGTACTGATCTCTCTTCCAAACTCCAGGGGAAGCATGAGTTTCCAGTCTACTCCTGTACTCTGTAGGTGATATCATGGCTCGGGTAATTCAAGATAAATTTAGTTGCACGCCTCTGAACATTTTCAATGAGGTGGCGATGTTTGACTGTGTAAGGAGACCAGATATTTGACTGGCACATTCAAGTATGGGTCTTACTAATGAAATGTACAGCAGCTTACGTTTTCTTATGTCAATGATGTCACGTCCACGTAGAAACGCACTTAACCAGGCCTTGGCAAGGATTTTATTTGCTTTCGCACACATTTTCTCAATGTGCAACTCCCAAGACAAGTTATTTGCGGGAGAAATACAATTATTGCGGGAGATCCAACTACGATACTACGAAATCTCAAGTTTCGTTGACAGGTTTCGTTAATTAAAGTGCGACAAAGCACAAATACGATCTTTGGTATAATATTTGGGTCATTCGAAGACGAAATGTAATATATCTTTACAATAAAAAATCCCATCTTGATCAACTTTTTCACTGCCAAAGTTTGCGGATATGATGTCATTAGGTGAATTGTGAATTAGTTTTCTCCTTCACTTCTTCTCCGACTGATATTCACAATACTGTTGCAGAACTCGCTGGTACCACGAATAATAAAATAATGTTGCACATGCGCATTACTTCCTCTTTTCTCTCGTGGCGAATTTGGTTAACCACGCTAGATTACCGAAGGATGTTCAATCCTTGAATCTTGATTTTTCCTTGTTTCGAACTGTAAATTTTGGTAGAATGTCTTTGGAAAAGCAAGTTCCCGTAAGTACATTTCCGATGCATTGTTATTTTGTGCAGTTTTAGTGTTTTGCAGCTTTATTTATCATGTTTGTACGATCGTCGACGATTATCATCACAATAGAATCATTGTTAGATCCTTCTATAGTGTTAATATTCATATGAAGGTCGTTGCTAGGCATTACTATTGAGTGTTTTGAAGCTATAGTTATCGTGTTTACATTGGTTGTCTTATAAGCATTAGCATTGTTGGCGATTTTATAGTTTACTATATTAATATTCATTCAATTTTAAGCAATTGTGTTCTCAATTATAAAACTTTATGTTTGGAATGAGTGTGTAGTCTTATTTTGTGTCTCACATAAACCTGAGAGCAGCTGGGGGGCCTTAACTGGACCAAGACCCCAGCACACTACTATACTCTTTATTGGGAGTGTTGAGTATTGACAAATACATGTCAATTGAAGGTACGAGTCATTGACCGCCTTCCATTATCCTTATAGGATAACGAAATACAGCCAGACATCCCGATCCAAACGGCGGGTGTTGGCGAGTCCCTGTCCAAATCGGACATTGAGAAAATGGTGGCAGATGCAATTGCCAGAACTGTTCCAATGGCCATATCACTAGTGATGGCCGCACAGGGCATTGGGCAGGCAGGGACCTTCCGTTTGGTGTCGGACCAAGCAACTGGTTTAGCTACCCAACCCCCTGATTCTCCACCAGCAACTCAGTCTGGGGAGAAAGATTTTATGCCACAGAAAGCAATGCTAACATCTCCAAAGAACTGCTGGAGCTAACCCAGCAGGCATTTTCCAAGTCCTTGACTAGAGACACTTGGAGAACACTGACTGAAAAATACCCAGAGATAGAGGGCACAGATGCACTGCTGGGGGCCCCCGCGATTGAAACCGGAATGAAAGAGGATATCTGGAATTAGAAGCATGGCTTCATAAGACCAAAGAGGTCTTTGCCTTCGACGAGGGCTTGGCTGAAAAGCAAGTCACATTCCTCCTTACTGCTTGACCAATATTGGCTGCCATATCCGCCCTTGACCAGGTGGAGGAGGAGGAGGGGGATGAGACCGAAGTTCCAGACCCTGATGTGATTAAGGGAATGCTAGAGGATGCCCTGGTTTTTCTGGGAAATGCTAATGTGCGCCTCAACCCTTGGCGCCAACGACGATTCTCGGAATACCTCACTGAAGTTGGTAAACGCACCTTCAAGGAGGAAATACCCTCTGATCGGCACCTCTTTCCGGAGCGCTTCCACGACCGCATCAAGAGTGAGCACAACCACTCCAGTTCCAATAATAACCTCATTAGTCTACCACGCATGCAACCTCGTTTTGCAGCAAAGCCAACTCCATCTCAGCAGCCCTTTCGTGCCCCCGGTAGCAGATACAACAGTACAGGAAACACGTCCTGGAAGAAGCGTAGGTGGGGTCCAAGCCATCCAACACCAGGTCGACAGCAGCTAAACGCTACCGACAAAACAAACCAGGTTCAACAAATAAAAGCTGACTATCTGCCTTTCCCAAAACTATCACCAGTCGACTGACAATCACCTTGCACAACAGTCAGAATAGCCAAACATTAGAGAATTGGAAGGAGATAACCCAAGATCCTTGGGTGTTACAAACTGTACAGGAGTACAAGATACCCTTTCAGAACACTCCATATCAATGGAGAGCCCGAGAGACAAAAGTACGGAACAAGAAGCAGGCGAAGTTTATGACAAAGGCAATCAAATACCTTATGCAGAAGGGAGCCGTGGCCCAAGTCCAACCAAAGGCAGACCAGTTTATCTCCACCCTTTCTCTGGTCGAAAAAGGAAGTGGAAGCGAACAGTTTTGGCCAGTGATCAACCTGCGCCCGCTCAACCGATTTGTACGGACAGAGTCCTTTCGGATGGAGGGCCTTCAAATAGCAAAGAACCTGATCCGACCAGGAGACTTCCTGATGAAACTAGACTTGAAAGATGCCTACTATACAGTACCGGTGCACCAAGGGCATCGCCGTTATCTCTGCTTCTCCTATCAAGGTATCCTTTACGAGTTTTGCTGCCTATCGTTTGGCCTGTCGTCAGCACCGAAGGCCTTTACAAAGCTTCTCAAACCTGTGGCAACGCTACTCCGCTCCATGGGAATCCGGGTTGTCATCTATTTGGACGACATCTTGCTCCTCCACCAAGACAGGAAGGAGTTGTTGAAGATCTTCAACAAAGTGTTGGAACTTCTTCAGAATTTGGCGTTCACTATCAAGCGGGAGAAATGCTCTTCAGCTCCCACAGCCTGGTCTTTTTGGGGGGCCTCCTCAACTAAGTGGAAATGACAATTTCCCTCCCATCCGAGAAATTGAAGGCGATTACCGAAGCAGTCCGAGAAATACAGAAAGGCTGGGAGGTAACCGAGAAAGTTTTATCCCCGCTCCTTGGTCGGTTGAGTCATGCGGCACAAACGGGGGTCTGGACTGCACCCTTCCATTACAGGAGCATTCAGCAGCAACACGTCAAGATGGCTCGCCAAGCATCCATATGGCCGACAGCTACTCGAGTCTCACTGTCACAGAGGAGCATCGAGGAAGTAACTTGGTGGCAGTCTCCAGAGGTCCGGATGTTCAATGGTCAACCTTTGCAGATGCCGGCCTTCGACATGACTGTCTCGACGGATGCTTCACTACTTGGCTAGGGTGCAACATGGCCAGGGACAACGATTGGTGGTCGATTGTTACCAGCAGAAGCCAAATACCACATCAACCTGCTAGAGCTCAAGGCAGCTCATCTAGCATTACAAGCCTTCTTCCGAACTCACACTCCAACACCGAGACACATCTTACTACAGATGGACAATTCGACATGCAGCGGTGGCGTATGTGAACAAACGAGGAGGGACAAGGTCGTACAGCCTATCAGCGGATCAGCGGAAGCCCTGGAATAATGGGCACTGGTTCTTCGGGAAGGTTGTTGGATTACCGTGAGACATATCCCGGAAACATCCAACACAATAGCCGATTTGACTTCTCGTCAGTTCAACAGTTACTCCGAATGGACGCTGAACCGAGATGTGTTTCACCAGATAACGCAGCGACGCTATCGACCGAAAGTGGACCTTTTTGCCACCCAAGTCAACCACCGTCTTCCTCTGTATGTATCAAGATACCCAGATCCAGGAGCCATGGCAACGGATGCATGCCTTTGCAACTGGAGTCAGTGGAGGAGCTGGATCTATGCACCCTATTGGTCCCGTGGCATTAGGAAAACTCCCAATTGTCTCACGGTTCATGAAAGGAGTGTTTCGGATGAACACACCACAACCGAAGTTGTGTACAACTCGGAAGGTGCAGGTCGCCTTGGATCACCTTAAGAGACTGAGGCCAGTAGAAGAGCTTTCTCTGCGAGAAATATCAGGGAACTTGGTGTTATTGCTTGCCTTGACCTCAGCTGCACGAGCGCATGAATTGGCGGCACTCGACCTGGACCACCTGACGGAGAAGGAAGACTCATGGGAGTTCACCCTGGCTGTTCATGTTAAGCAATCTCGTCCTGGTCACCCGGCTAGGAAGATATACTTGCCAGCTTATCCAGTCAACAGAAAACTTTGTGTTGTGACCACAGTGAGAGCCTACAGAGCAAGGACGATTGCGATTAGGCAGTTCTTGAAACTGCTTCTAGCGCTTATAGCGCCACACGCACCAATATCGAGCCAGACAGTCTCGAGATGGTTACGTAATATTTTGAAGCTAGCGGAGATAAATCCCACCTTCACAGGGCATTCGACTCGCAGTGCTTCAACTACAGCGGCTGCTGAAGCGGGAATTCCGCTAGAATTAATCTTAGAGGCTGCAGATTGGTCGTCTGCTGGAACGTTCAGGGCACATTACCTAAGACCTACAGGTATAGGCAAAGAAACATTTGCGAACTCAGTCATTTCTGGCTAGATAATTTCTGGCACATATATTATAAGGTTGTAAGTTACAGTTATGTCACAATAATAATTGGTGATAGTTAAATATACACTCATGTCAGCGTGCTTTACAATCTGCAACAGTATTGTGAATATCAGTCGGAGAAGTGAAGGAGAAATGGAGTTTCCCCGGAGGGTAACTTACCTGAAGGGGAGACGTAGTTCTCCAAACTTCTTCGTAGACTGATATGAGCAATACTGCTCCCAACCGAATAGTATATAGTGCGATACCGAATAGTATATTACCGCTCATGGAGGAAGTTCTTAATCTCTTTCTCCCCGCCCTTTGCTGCCATTCGTATTGAGTAATGCGCATGCGCAACATATTTTATTATTCGTGGTACCAGACCTCTCGCCGCGCGAGTTCTGCAACAGTATTGCTCATATCAGTCTACGAAGAAGTTCGGAGAACTACGTCTCCCCTTCAGGTAAGTTACCCTCCGGGGAAACTCCATTTCCTTTCTTTTTGTACCGTAAATTCACCTGACATGATATCCGGAAACTTTGACAGTTCAAAAGTTGATCAAGATGAGGTTTTTTACTATAAATATATATTACATTTCTTCTTAGAATGACCGAAGTATTACACATCCCCAAAACTATATTTGTGGTTAGTCGCACTATAAAAAATGTGAAATAATGTATTACTGATTATGAATGCTTAAATTTATGAGTGCAATGGTAAAATATTTTTATTCAGTTAATAATATTAACATACTGACCGAGGGCAGTACACGGTAAATATCCAAACGAGGTCTTGCTGTATTGACCGAGCGATAGCGAGGATATGGATATTTTCCCGTGCTACCCGAACAGTTGAGGTCAGTAAGTTTTTTTTTAAATTATATGGAATTGTACGCTTCGGTAGAAAATGGGGGGGGGGACGTCACGCGAGGGCAAAGTACAAAGTCCGAAATATTTGAAAAAAACAATTGTAAAAACATTTCCATAGTGCACAGTGAAACTACTCTACAGCACTTTTTATACAAAGTGTCATTATCCACCCCCCCCCCCCCACCCCCATGGATGAGGACTTGAATTGAATACTTGTAGGAATCAGACTTCCGAGAAGGACCCTGTTGGAATCGACAGTAAATGTCTAAACCCATGCAATGACTATGGAATTTCAGTTCTTTCCATTTACTTATCTGCATCACCCATGGCTCCTACGCATGAGCTTTGGCCAAATTTTACCTGTAGAAATCGGCTAAACTAAGGGTCTAGTTAGTATATCCGCTTAGTTCATATTTGTGCGGATATCTATTGTTCTCAATAGGGTTTTATTTGGGTAAGAATCTAAAAGCAAGGGGAGGGATTTGAAACTCCACAGGCCGGAAAAGCGGGGTTGATGAATAGAATTGAATGCCTAATTAAAAATGCAAGGTATCTAACTCCATAGTGACCACTTTTAGAGGTCACTATGGAGTTAGATACCCTGAATTTGTAACAAAACTCAAACCCCACATCTCCTTTTCGACTAGAAAACGCTGCACGTCTCTGAGTCAAGAAAGAGAGAACAGCCGTGTACCTCAGAGCCCGTCAAACTCTACCTTTGGGTAGAGTATTTATCGTTCCGTACACGAGGACTAGCTGAACCAACCATCAAACTTGCTTGTGCAAGCAATTTATACAGTAAGGGACCGGTCATTATTTATGGCAGGGGTGGGGGCCGAAGCGAAAGTATAATGAAGCCGGAAAAAATCATAACCCAACCTTTTTCGAAACAAAATTTCTAGCTACCCCACCGGTGGAATGCCAGAAAAATTTTTTACCCCACCCAAACCTATTTTGTTGCAATGTAAAAGACAAAGGTTCAGACATAAAATATGTAATGAAACAGTTTAGTATTTTGTATGCTTATTACTCATCAAGGTACAAAATTGCCCTTGATGAGTAAGATCATCTGCTGTTAGAGAGTAAATAATAATTATTATACGGTGCTTTGACCACAGTGGCCATTATAATTAAAAGGGAATAGGATTGATTGGTAATACTTGTTTAACAATATCCCTTGCCCCTTATTTCTTGTGGAGTAATTAAAGCACACTAACAGTCATGCCTTATTATGGGTTACCCTTACAATATAGCAAGGTACTATATAAAGAATTATAGTTATCTGAAGGCTTAAAATTTGTCTACTTGTAAAATTGAAATATGAATGGGTTTTTATAGTTTCTATTCAACGCTATATTCCCTTTTCACGAGATAGTGCAATGCTAGTCCCATATACATATATTAACCATGCACTGATATAAAACCTGTAAAGCATATATTTCAGTATTTTAGAACACTAACCATATTTCACCACCCTATCTCTTTCCCACTTTAAAGTTTCACTGTATATAATTTGGTTTCTTTCACTTTCTTGCATTTCTTTATTAATTAAAATGCAATTTTATTTTGAAACAGTTTCACAAAATATGTGCTCATCACCTATGATTGCAACTATATAAATTCTAAAATTTCCTCTGAAATTCCTTTAACATTTCCTTACTATAGACAATCACATGTATTATCACGGAATTTTAAAGGAATTCCTTAAGAATTCCCAAGGAATTCTTGAAGTTTATGAAACAATTTAATATTTTAATTTGTAAACAATACAACGATACTAAAGTATATGTCCCATGTGAGAATATCTGAATTTAGAAAATGATGTTACTGTAAATTAATGAGAAAGAGTTGCTGTTATACAGTGTGAAGATAAAGATATTCATCCGAATTCCAAGTATGATTATATAAACAATTAAATTAATTTGTAAAACGGGTAAATAGATTTCTCTTATTTTATTCATGTATATATGGTCTGCTAGTAAAGAAAAACAGCTAGTTGCCAAAGACTCAGAACAATGTTTGAGCTGAACATATTATGATCTAGCCATTGGAATGATTCTCCAGATCGATTCACAAGGGACATTGGGCATATTTCATGATTTGCTACCTGAATTGTCCACATGGTTTAGGGACGGACCATTATTTTTTTGGAGGGGGGGGGATGAAAAATTCTTAAAAAAATTGTTTGCAAAGACAAAAAAGTGCAAATAAATTGTTTGCACACATAGAAAAGAGGAAAAAAATAGTTTGCAAGCTAATGAGATTATGCAACATCAACCAAGGTTAATGACAATGAACAGAGTGCTCACCAACATACCCAGGGTCTTCACTCCAAAGCCCTGGGATGGGACACGCTGGGCACATGTTGCAATCTACATATGGGTTAAATATTAATCTATTTAATACAGTCATTTCTTGGGGGGGGGGGTTCTATTTTTTGGTATTTTTTGTATAAAATAGGTAATTGGACAAGTACTGGTGTAAGACATTGTGTAGCGTAAATAATGAGAGGACCAGTATCAGGGCCTCTTTAACATACAAGCGGTGGGGGGATGTCTGCCTTATGCCCCCTCACGAAATCACATTTTCCTTTTCATTTCCCTTTTTCCTAAATTTACACAAACAAACCAGCGAAAAATAACAAATTGATAAACAAAAAGTAAGTTTTAGGCTTTATCCTTTCTCCTTGTTTAACAAAATCGATTTAAATTGTTACGTTTTTCCACCTGGCACTAAGTAATGGTGATAAATTATTGTTAATAATTTTATATTTTTTGTGCGTTTTTTCCATCTTTTATTTCAAATACAAGTATACTTAGCATAAATTTTAGAGCAAATTTAAATGCTCAGAATGCAGGAAATGACATTTCAGGGCTTCAAATTTCAAAAATTTTCTGGGGAAATATGCCCCCAGACCACGTGGCCGTCAGCCATTCCTATCCTCCTCTAATATATTATCTCACAGAAAGGTCCCCCCCCCCTCACACAGGAAAATCTTTAAAAAAGGCCCGGACCAGTATACCGAAAAAACTATTAAATGTCTGTTTACATATTAAATTTATACTTCTGACAACACCACATGCTGTTCGATTACCAGCGCTGTAGCAACCGGGGGGGGGGCTGCAGCCCCCACAACAATTTGCTAATAATTATTCATTTTTCAAAATCATGCAGACCTTTATAATTTAATTCATGAGAAACTGCAAAGAATGAAGATATTACCCATACTTTCCTGCAACTTATCCAATATAAAGTTTAGTACTACAGAATTGTAAATTTCGCTGTTTTCTGACCATCAGAATTCTGTCAAATCTTCCCCAAAGTCCAGGAAATGGCATTTCAGAGACTCTAAATTTAAAAATTTCCTCGGGTCTTCGGTCCCCGCTTTCCCCCCCCCCCCCCCAATCGAAAAGAGCTTCCTACGGCCCTGATCACACATGCAATAGTGTAATCGGGCACAAATTAAACTATATATATATATCAATTTATAATGAAATCCACAGCAATCAGATGGACAAAAAATTGTTTGCAGAAGGAAGCAGGCGCAAAAAAATTGTTTGCAACGACAACAGCACCAAAAAAATTGTTTGCGTTGACGAAATGTCCATCCCCCCCCCCCTTCCAAAAAAATAATGGTCCATCCCTTACAAGCACATACTGGATATAAATATTAGTTATACAGTATCAAATGTAGATGCCCAAAAATTAAATCCTGAAAATTTAATAGACTGTACATATACTTTTTGAGATATGTAATAAGAGGATGTTTATATAGGGGCGAGGCTGGATGCCCGGGGTTAGGGGCTACAGACTTAAGGTCACTTTTCCTGAGGCAAGATCTCGGGCTAAAGGGGCGGGATCTCACTTAGCTATAGCTGGGCCCGCTCTTTACCCATATATACATAAGGTGAACTTTTAATAGTAAGAAATAACAACAAAGGCAGGATCTTGCCAAAACTGGGCCAGCTTGGGTACCCTGGGGTTGGCTTGCAGTTGCACCATTTAAACAGCTCCTATATATAGGCAATATATATTTTGTCTGGTCATTGGAGTCTTTGGAGATTTTGTGTGTAAATGAATATAAAAATGACTCTTTACAGGTGGGTTGAGGGGGGTGTTTCTGTCAACATTTTAGAAAGC